AAATCTATGTCTCGATAGTAATACAACTAGAAATCGGATTCACATTAAATTGCATTGAATTACATGCGAGTCTAATGTGAAGTGAAACAGTAAGTCATGCGATCAATACCTATGTTTACAATCGTTTACAAACTAATTATTAGCAAAAAACTATGTATACGAGCGCCGATACCTCCTTCATCTTCCGAGTCACTCATGAATGTCTCGTGCATTGTCTCCGGCGCCACCACTTTGTACTTCTCCTCCGTCACAGTCGTTGTGGTGGTCTTCACGACCATTTCGGTCACCACTTTCAACGTCTCGACCACTGAGATGTAGCCCAAGCGCTGGGCGATCGACAGGGCTGTCTGTCCCTGACTGGTGATGGCGTTCGGGGAGGCCTTATGCTCGAGCAGAGTGTTCACGATAGCTGTGTGTCCCTGTTGTGCCCCTTGATGTAGAGGTGTGTATCCGTGCTGTCAATCAATCAAAACATTTAATATTTGTAATTTATTTTATCATTAATTGCTTATAACTCACAGCATTGGTTGCGTTCACATCAGCTCCTAATGGGTCCGACAGTAATGAAAGACACAATCAATTGAAAAACGATTTGTCAGACAATAGGGGGACAGACATACCGTTCTGCAGGAGGAACCGAACCATATTGAGTTGACCGAAATGCGAGGCCACATGCAGAGGTGTGTAACCGGCCTTCGTTTGTGGCGATATCTCGACCCGATTTCTGGCCAAAATGGTCGCCACATTGACTCTGTCCTCCTGAGCGCACAAATGCAAAGGAGTCAACGAGTTCTTGGCCTTCACGTTGATGTCCGCCTGATGTCCGATCAAAAGCGTCGCCATATCCGTGTGGCCCTCCTGTGCCGCCAAATGCAATGGCGTGAACCCAGCCTTAGATTCGGCGTTGGCTTTGGCGCCGTATTCGAGAAGAGTGGTCGCGATATCCATTTGGTTCTTACGGGCGGCGATATGGAGGGGACAGTAGCCGTTCTTAGCGGTCGCGTGGGGCGACGCCCCCTTCTCCAGGAGCAGGAGCGCCACATTGACGTGATCGTAATGGGCCGCACAGTGCAGGGGTGTCACGTTGTTCTGCAAAATTATCACCCATTCATGTGTCACAAATTCATTCACTAGATGTGGTGTTACGAGTGACATACCTTTCCCTGTGCATCTACCGGTGCATCCTTGCTAATGAGAAGTCGGGCCACTTTTATGTTTCCGTACTTAGCGGCCAAATGCAATGGAGTGAACCCTTTCTGTAAACGCAAAGACCACAACAATTTACTACAAATCCAATCACTTAACCAAATTAAAAGCCTACTTTAGTGGTGGCATTAAGGGAGGCCCCGTGCTCTAGAAGGACGGCCGCAACCTCCTCCTGGCCCTCCTTAGCAGCGATGTGTAGGGGTGTATACATGTCTTTAGTGGTGGCGTCGATGTCGGCGCCATTTTGCAGAAGCAGTCCAACGATGTCTACGTTTCCAAGACGTGACGCGATGTGCAGAGGGGTCTGTTGTTCGCGGGCCTTGGCGTCCACCTGAGCGCCATTCCTCAGCAAAATCCTTATGATGTCCGTCTGGTTAGCTCTGGCGGCCAAATGCAGAGGAGTCTCGCCTCTGACAGTGGGCACATCCGGGTTGGCCAGGTGTTGGATCAGGTATATGACAATATTCATGCAGCCCATGAACGCCGCCACGTGTAGTGGTGTTAAGCCGGACTCCGTGGTCGACTCGATGGAGGCGCCGTGTTTTAGTAGGAGTTCCACCACTTTTATGCGGTTCTTCTTACAGGCGATGTGCAACGGCGTGAAGCCGTTCAAAGCTCGGGCGTTGGGGTCTGCCTTGCGGTCCAATAAGAGTTTAGCGACTCTTACGTGACCGCAATGGGCCGACACGTGAAGGGCTGTCAAGTAGTCCTTAAGGGAATAGACACATAAACGCTGAATACAAACCGACACAAAACAAACAAAATTCAAAGTCACGGCTTACCACCGTTACATCATCTACAGGTGCCTTATGGAACAGTAGAATACGAGCGCTGTCGACGTGATCGCCTACAGACACGAAACATTTCATTTTAAACCATTTTTGTTGTAAATAGACTTTAACTTATTGCCGGAATATTAGGGCAAAAATTGATAGCTTTTGTACAGAATATGAAAGTAATATAAAAATACTAATAAATCAGTAGATATTAAACATCTGAAAGCATTGCTTCCGTTTGTCAAATGACAGTATAAAAAAATATTCTCAAAACAAATTTAGACATTAATTTCTAAGTAAAACCTCAAAATATCGATAAATATAGTAAAAGCATATTCAAGGCAAACAATTAGAGACAAACATACCCTGCGCTGCCATATGAAGAGGTGCCAAACCATTCTGTAAATGAAAATTAAATATTAATTTCTCGTAATAAATAAATGAACACAAAAAGCACACAAACCTTGGTCTTGGCTGAGATGGGCGCTCCCCTCTCGAGCAATAGGTCGACCACCGCCTCGTGACCGCTGCGGGCGGCGCAGTGAAGGGGTGTGAGTCCGTCGCGGGTGGCGGCGTCGATGTGGGCCTTGCGATCGAGCAGTAGGGCGACCATGTTCACTTTGCCCCACTTGGCCGCCACGTGGATGGGCGTGATGTGGTGTTTGGCCACAAAGTTCACGTCGGCGTTCTTGTCGAGAAGGACGGCCGCAATGTTTTCGTTGCCGTAATGGGAAGCGATGTGGAGGGGCGTGAAGCCCGACTTGGAGGTCACGTCCGGGTTGTGGTCGTTCTGCAGGAGCAGAGCGGCGGCCTTACAGTCGTCCTTCTTGGCGGCCACGTGAAGGGCCGGTAATCGCACTTTGCCTTTGGTGTCGTTCTCGAGCAGTACGGCCACCACCTTGTCGTGACCCTGTTGTAGGGCCACCGCCAGCGGCGTGAACCCGTCCTCAGTGGCCAGACTCTGATTGGCGCCGTTCGACAACAGATACCTGACCACCGAGTCGTGGTTCTCCTGGGCGGCCATATATAGCGGCGAAAAGCCGTTGAGTGACTGCACGTTAACGTTGGCCCCATTCTGGATCAGCACTTTGACCACTTCTAACTGGCCGGCCAGGGATGCAATATGCAGAGCAGTGTTGCCTTAATTGCCATATATAGCGGCGAAAAGCCGTTGAGTGACTGCACGTTAACGTTGGCCCCATTCTGGATCAGCACTTTGACCACTTCTAACTGGCCGGCCAGGGATGCAATATGCAGAGCAGTGTTGCCTTAATTGAGATTTTATGAACACATAAATCATTTAGCATTTTACGAGCAAACAATTCAAAGCAAATCTAGAAAACAATTTGCAAAACTAGCGCAAAAGGGGAGTCCGTATCCAACCATACCTTTCTGTAACATAAAAGCGAAAAAACATTTTTTATTACTTTTTTATTAGAGACAAAAAGCAATTCATTATTCATATGAATGATATGCGATGGACAGGGATCTCACTTTAGTGGCTGCGTTCACATTGGCGCCCCTCTTGAGAAGTTCGGTGACGACCGACACGTGTCCCTCCTTTGAGGCCAAGTGAAGGGCGTTCAGACCGTTCGCATTACTGGTGTTGATGTCTATACTGCCCTTCAGATACTCCAACACTTTGTCCAAATTGCCAGCTCTGGCCGCCCGCAGGAAACTCGCGTTCCCATCGGTCTGTCCGCATAAATGACACAAATATTCACATTTAGTTATACCGTATATATAAATATATTTCAAATACAATTGAATTGCAAACTCAGCAAATAAGACATGAAAAACAAATAATATATAATGTGTGGAGTAATCACTGAATCGATTAATACTAAAAATAGTTTCCCTTTTTTTGATGGATTCATTCCGTATTGAAAGTGACGGTAATTTATATTGAGATACAATTCGTGATCATATAATTGAGAGCGAAAATGATGCAAATTTGTGGCAAATGTATAACGAAAATCTCACTTTTATTTTAGTGATGACCACTACGACAAGGGCTGACAAAGTGGTGATTGCGGTCACTATGAGCGCTATATCATCCACTATAAGGACCATTGCTTTTGATAACCAAATAATTTACGACAACATTTGCAGTAGAAATCAAGTCTTAAGCAACAAAAAACTGTCCCAAATATCCGTGTAATTGGATTAACCAAACAATATATGAACACAAGAATACAGCAAAGAATTCAATCATAAAATGGGTTTTCTCTCAACAAAATCAATAGAGAGATAAGAAAACAAAAACCAAAACTAAAAATATAATTTCACACAATTTATATGAAAAACTATTAATTTAATTCATTGTTTAAATGCTTTTTATATGAGAAACGGGATGTGATTATTATACACACTATAAACTAGTAGCCAAAATCCATTATTACTTATTATAGCACTTATAATCTGCTCAAGAATTTTGTATTTTATTTATTTATCGCTAAAAGACTTCACGAAAACATTTGTTGGATTCGGTTATCAGGGTATCATTGAATTGAATTGTATATCAAAATAATATATAAGTATTCGCGATAAGAGATGACATAAAAATATTGGTATAAAATATAAGACAATCACAATAGCGATGCAAATGTCATAATATTGTCAACACTTTCTCCTATCTATTCAAACCTATGAAATGTCTATTGGTTTGCAAATTATACTCATATTTAATACACATTTCTATACATTTAATTGTCATATAAAAAAACTTATATATATTGTGTGTGCGAAACAAATAATCAATAATAAATGTAAAAGACAAAAATAAGTCAAATATAATAAAATGTATTAATAAATGAATTTGTGTACGAGTTTTGTGTGTAATTCATAAAAATCAATAATAAATCGATTTATAAGTCACTTATAATCCCGTATTTAAACACCAAAAGTGTATTTAATTTCTATTACAATGTAATGGTCTCTAAACATGTCTATCAATTTGCAAACAGAGCCCATATTTTAAATCAAAACAAATTCAATTGACAAGTGATTTGAATTTAAAGCCAATGAATAGATAAACAGTTGATATATCATACACACAAAAATAGCCATGCTACATTCAATACACATTCACATCGATTGTATGCCTCGTAAATAAATACTACATTCATGAATGTGTGGAAAGGGATGTGAATGTCATATAATTGTCATCTAATTGACAATAAATGCTATTTTAATATTGAATTCATACGATAAACACCACAAAAAACAATGACTTGAATGGTATGAATGGTGTGAATACCTGATGAGATGGCGGATCCGATTGCTGTACATTGGATTCAGTGACCATTGTCTCGGTGTCTCTCACATACACTCAACACATTTAATCCACATTTAAATCGACGGTATAATGAGTTTACGAGTAAATTGTGTACAAAATCTATGTATCGTATGAATACACATATATAGCGATAAAATGCCGGTTTTGGTGTCGACTCTCGTCTCTCGAGTCTCTCTACTGTTTTCAGTCAATGCATTGAATGCCAGAACGAGTATAACGTTAGGTTAGGTTTGGGTTAGACTTGCTGTGAGTCAATGCAATGCAATACACAATGCATTCAATACATTCACAGCCTATGCCACTGCCTATGATATAACAGTCAGTCTCTAACAGTGCTCTCAATTTACGGCCGAAATCCTATTCAAAACCATCTCTTGTTTCACATCACTATATATTCACAGTATTATGTATTCACTGATATTACCCTTCAAATGATCAGTTTTTGTCTACTTTTTGTCCATCATTTTTCACTCATATTGTATTTGATTTAGACTTTTCCATTCAATTCTTAACTTCACATTCGGTTAGACTTTTTGTTAGTTGCTAGTATATCTATTAATAGTTTTATATAAAAGTCATTATTATGTCATAGAGTTGTTAAATTGGAGTTTCCGTTTTACTGACTTTTCAGACACTTTTACTTATATTTACACACTTTGTGTTAATTATACTTTTATTTAATCTTTGAATTTTATCCAAAAAATTGGGAATATTTTTAGGGTTAGATTAGAAGTAAATGTTTTTGTTGTGAATAACTTTTACGCCGATATAGTTTGCCTGTATTTATGTCTCATATAAATGGGGAATTCATGTTAGTCTCAGTTTTGCCTCTTTTCCCACATATTCCGATCTCTCTCTCTCTCTCTCTCTCTCTCTCGTGTCTGTTCCCGATCTTCGCTATTATCGATCGATGTGTGGACGCATGTGCTCTATATTTGTCGCATAGGATGCAGTCATTCCTGTTTACGGCCGACACAACAGACATACACACCGTTCCCAACAAATATTAGTCGACATCAATCAGGTTTTTGCTCATAATTAGACACAATTCATGCATTTTTGTTGATTTAGTAGACAAATGTCTGCTTAAGTTCTTCCTATCACTCAATCCGCTGTTGATTAACAACGGGAATGGGGTTCACATCGACTGAGAGAATCTGAAAGAATTGTTTTCTCGAGTCAAACAAATTTTTCACAACAAAAAACTTTTCGCAAAACTATTAGTTACGAAAGTTTTAGTTTGGAAATAAGTTATTAAAAGTTATTTACTTTTGGACTCCTTTTCCCTAAAAGATAAGAGACTAAAGAGACTAAAAATACTGTTCCTGTCACACAGTCTACTTGTCTATGGATGGCATATATGACTGTATGGTTGCTCTCAATTGTCATTTCCTTTTGTTTACTTAATTTAATTTCACCGAAAAAGTTAGTCAATTGTCTTACGCTTGTCATCAAAAGTTAATTTTCAAAACTCAAATTTAATTTACTTATTAGCGTATCGTTTGCTATAAAAGTATGTGAAAACATAAAAATAAAATAAAAAACTTTTGCTCCAATAGTTTGCTGTGATTTGTTATCACGTCTACTCCTAACGACAATTTGCTTTTGTTATTATTGTTTAAATCATTTCAATCGACATAACTTTCTTATATTTAAGTTTGAAAATAAGTTATAATTGATTTTATTATAAATTACGAGCGAAAGTTGTATTTATAAATTTGTTTTCGTTTTGATAAACAAAATGTAGATTTCAAACATTACTTTCTTCACTCTGTTTTATATCAAATGTTTCTCACATTTTAAAGCAAACAACATTTCGCGAGAATTGATAAAATGATAAAGTGTTTTAAAAATGACTTACAAAGCAAATGAATGCTATTTCAGTTATTCATTAATGGTATTTATTAGTGTATATCTCAAAGACATTTTCATAAATTGAATGTATGACACATAAAACATGAAAATAGCAATAAGAATATATTACAGTTAAATAGGAATTCAGTTTTAATACAATATTTATATTTGACATTTTATGTATATACTGAATATTTTTTCAATTAGGATTCTAATGTAAAATTCAATTATTTTTTTTATAAAACTTGTTTATAAGAAAGGAAACATTTTCGTAACAATTTTTGCATACATAACAATAATTGGAAGAATTATTTTCCTATTTAAATGATCAATATGTAGGCGAAACATACAATGAATTGATTGTGTATTTTTTATATGGCAAAAACGTGTGTAGAGTTTATATAATATTTTGTTTGTTTGTTTGATATGTTGAGTCAATAGTTTTGCACAATTCTTATCTGATTTGTATATTTTATTCATAGATAGACTCAGATTTGATATCGATTTTTGTCTGTTTTTAGGTTAATTCAAATAAACTCTTGTTTACAAATTCCCATTTATGACAATTATTGTCTACTGGTAACAATATATGCATAAAATTACTGTGAATTTACATTACATTTTATTTCTCAAAATATAATTGAAATTAACTTAATTTATTTTATGCAGTTTTCATTACAGTTAAAAATCTAATGAGAAATGACTCTAAAAACTAGAGTACATATAAATAATTAATTAAAATGAATATTGATTTGAGAATTAGAGTCACATTTGATTTATACTCGGGTAGTCATAATTAGTCTGGGATATTTTGGTACAAATTCGTTAAAATTGCGAAATGGCATAATGCGATCTTTATGGGAACTAATTATAGCTCACTTTTAATTATTATGGACTTAAGAAATTATAACAATTATGCAATTTTGATAAAAGCTCTGAAAATTCTCGTTTTGCATATAAATCATATCAATTCATATGATGTATTGTGTTATTTAATTAAAATATTTTATTACCAAAATAGTTTAGGATTACAGTGGTAACAAATTATTATATATTATACTAATATATCATTTAATTACAAACATTTATTACTAAAAACCATAACAATATTGTTAAAATAGATAAAAAATAATTTATTAAAAAATAATATTTTAATAAATTATACAAAATTTCTATTTCTATTAACTTGAAAGTTAAAACAGTGAAGGTTCTGGTGAATTTATTGTTTTTGTCTAGTTTATTAATCACTATATTTTTGTCATATGTATTTAATAGATCAAATATGTATACTGTACATTTAAATATACATTTCTACCGGAAGTTATAGTTAAACCCTATTCCCTTGAAATTCTTGGCTAATCTCGAAGGTCTGCGAACCTTAAGTGACTTACAGATTGTATTTACTTAAATACACTGTAATTTAAGGTGTTTTCAGATTGTTTAGAAATTAATTGATTACTTCATTTCACACATACTTATCAAATATTGATACTAGCAGTGAATATTTAATTTCAAACGAATTTGTGAAATGTCATTTTAAACACTTTCAATCATGAAATCAATTATTTTATTACAGTGTTAAGTGATAAATACCAGCAAGTTTAAAACATAACATTAACTCAAAATGCTTTTTAATACCATCTGAAACAATTGGATAAAAATATATAATTACTATTATTTAGAAAACAATTCATGTAACAAAGATTGCATTCAATTAATGAGTATATAAATATGTTTATCATTTTCTTAGAGAAAAAAATCTTTTCATATGATATCATATCACTCATCATTTGCATTGAAATTCACATGAAGTCTACCCTTGAAATTGTGCTCAACTTATTGCGTTCATAAATACGAGTCCACACCCATCAGCAATACACCTGTCATTTCACTAGTCTTTATACCAAATCTCTCTCAGATATTATTATACAATCTTTTTGTATTAAATATCCATTTCTTTGAAATACAATTCAATTGAATTAAATATGAGCCATAAAACTAAATCAATGAAAGTACACACAAAAAACGCGATAAATATTATAAAAGACATACCATTGAGACATCTTCCGTAGCCATCGCTATCGCAATCATTATGGAAACTATTTAAGTCTCAATCGATTAATAGATAGGAATTATATAAAATTGCATAACACTTCATATAAACACAAATAATGAACAATCATTGGAAATGTTGTCATACTTTTAGACAAAATAGGAATATTCACTAAACATTTGCCGATCACTTAAACGAGTCTTTTATGTATGAATACGAGTACATACAGTATGAGAGACTCATAACGTGTGTAACATTTTTACATAAGAATGTAATTCATTAGCCGTACAACCATTGGATCAAAAGGAAAAAAGTATTTTATTGATTGTGAAAAGACAATAAAAATACAGTGAATTAGCAGTTTTTTGCTGACTATAAATGGCACACATATATGGCCATAAGGATGGCAACCTATAGGAATAACTCAAATAATAATTATTTGGCATAAATTTTTATATAATATTAAGTACTGGTATATAAAATGGAAAATTTAAACATCAAATCGAGGCTAAGAGGTATGGAGTGTACAGTATGTATGGCATTGTCTGCCCCTCAAGATATTCTCGCAGATAGCTATACACCAGCTATTGTTAAATGTTTATAAAACACATTACACCTGCCCTTGGGTTGCCTGTGTATATGACGGGCAAAATGTTATTAGCATTTCCTATAGTTTCACGTTTGGCTATATCTTTGATGGCATTAAAACATGCAATGAATAGTTGAACACAAAGTCACGCAAATTCTACTCCCGTTTTAATACTGGAATTAAGGAATCGTTTGTATATTGTATTTGTATTGTATTTACACAACTCTATGCATACAATCATATGCTATATAACAATAAAAATTCTGTTTCTTTTCCCGTAAATACTAGTGATTAAGAAATTAATATAAATGACGGAATAAATGCTTTTTTCGTTATCGCATGCATTAATCGTGAAAACTATTTCATTTGCAACTTCTCCTAATTCTCTCCTTTAATTAATCCCCTCTTTAGGTCTCAATTGTAATGAACTCCTAAAACGGAACTCAAGTTTTTCGACGAGAAAACAGTTACCATAGAAGTACTGTACGATTCATATCATCATTAGATTTACACAACAAAAAAATCAATTCATGTTTTTGAGGCCCAAAACAACAATAGGAGAGACCAGTAGTAGTAGAGGGAAGAGTAGTGTAGAGCCGGCAGTGGATGAATGACAGCGTAACGACTGTCCCGTTTGGTTGACTGGCTTTCGGGTTTGGGAACTGGAGTTTGAGTTTAGATCTTATTATAGCAGAAAAATGAGTCACACTTTCTGTCTCTCTCTGTGCCCTCACTTTCATCGAGTGCTCGAGTATTAGGAGAGAGAAAGTACTCCACAACCACTCTCTCCACTGTTCCCTCAATTCATATGACAATTGACTGAACAATGAAAATGAATAGTTTGTTGACTACACCCAAAGCCATACCATTTCCTAAGCTCCATGTCATTCAATATACCTTTAAATATGTATTGTATTTATAAAATACACTCCGATTTCATTAACAACTAAACAAATATCAACAAAAAACTCAATTTCCAGTGACATAAGTGTTTGGTTTACTCGTATTCATACACTTTTATCTAAACCTTTTAATACACTTAACTTTCTAATTAACATTTCACTCATTACACACAGAATTTCAAAAACAGTGTAAAAGTTTGACAAAACAAATGCTTGACAAAAATGAGGGCAAAAAATCGGGCGTCAAATGCAGTGATTCTGTACTCGAAAGCTATGGATCTGTCGATGAATTACTAAAAATAGTGTTATTTATACATAAAATATCGATTCGCCTAAACTTGGCGTATGTTTTCAAAAATACAAAACTATAAAGTAATGTATAAATATTTTCTTTGAATAACATTTGCATATTTAATTGAATTTTCAAATAATAAAAACTTCAAAACCAATAAAATTGAAAACAACTATAAAAATATAAAGAATATAAAGAATAAGTTTAATTGAATGGAAAAAATAAAATAAATGTCAACTAAAAACAGCATAACAATAGTTGCTATTTATAAACATCTAACACTCGTACTGAATTACTACTTATAATTACTATATATAAAATTTATATAAGTGTATAAATAAATATAAGTAATAATGTATGCAATTGGCAATAATCCTGGCCCTTTGCTCATTGCATCGTATAATTGAAGGTTAACATCAATTGCATGGATTACTGCTGTGTTTTGCAACCTCTCTAATGATTCACTGATAAAATATTTCTGTGTTTATTACTTATACATCACTAATATATTATGCATTGAGAATTGAGGCAAACATTTATTTCTGACATAATCTGCGAGAATATATGGATTCATAAAAGCGATTAGAAGTTTAATAAATTGTAAACTTTTTTGTTGTTTAACTTTTTTCTCGCCCACACGTCAGACGGTTAATACAATTGTAAAAATATTCTCAATTAAGGCATTGAATAGATTAATACATTAATTCAGTTATTATGTAATTAATGGGAACTTTTGAGGAGTTGTCTGTTTGCGAGACAATAATAATATGCCGTTTCCTCTATTACTTCAGACTTCACTGAAAACTTCCTCCAAAACGGATCGCAGAATATAAACGAGAATTCAATGATTCATAAAAGACTTGCATTTATGGGAAGTGCTGTCATCTCTAGCTTTCATTTACACAGTGTTTTACTTTTGGAAACATATTCTTGATTATAAAATTCACAATAATTTGTATGATACTAGATAATTATGCTAGAATTATTTCTTATTGATAAGCACTCTAATATGAAATTAATTTTTGTAAGTTATCGATATATGCAAATTGAAAATGGTCAAAAAATTATTAGTTAAATGCAATAACATTTTTAACGCAAAATCAATTCTAGGAAATTTATGTAAATCAACAAATAATTTTACAAATAGATTTTGTTTAACGATTCAAAAAATGACTGATAACACACACAATCGCTTATATACAGTACTAAAAACTTCATTTGAATTTCATTACATTTCAAATGTTTGCAAGTGTTTGAAATACACTGTTATTATTAAAAAAAACAATTATTCAAATCTGAAAAATTCATAACATGCTAAACATATAATTATTTTAGGAATAATTGTTTAGGAAAGTCAGAAAAACTAAACACAAATCACAAACACAAATATTCATATATTGAGATTTATGTAAAATAAAGTGAACGTAAAAAAGTGTTGAATATTTGTGAGGACACGACTGACCTTTCTATGGAAAATATGAACCCTTTTCTTAGGGTATTGCGAGTGAAAGCATCCGAAGTGCGGGTAATCATCGTAGACGAGGGCTCCTTCAACCCTGGCTTTGGGCGCCCGACCGCTGAGACATTCAACAGAGTGTGAGTGATATTGCGATGGCTTTGACTTATACTTAATTGAGTCGAGCGATCGCGACAACATTTAACACATCATTTAAATCCAATCAAACATAATTCATTTGCCCATATAATGCACTTATTTGCAAACATGCTTATATTGAATTTGATGCAGAATTTAATGCATTTTCGTACGAAAACTTTATGAACATTCACTCTCTCATACACAGCGTATCAATGAATATAACAAAACATATTTTTAAACAAATTTTAAGTCTATTTTAATGATGATTAGCAGCTGTGAAGAGGCGTGCAAATGAATTTAATTGAAACTAATTTTTGTCAATGAATACAAGTATTGCTTCAAATCAATTTTAGGCCGCAATGTATGTGTTCTCGCAATTCATTTAACTGTCAGAATAACTTTTATTACAATTGAAACTTATATGACATATACTCTTACTTGCATACAAATAACTGTAAGTCTTAAACAACTTTTCTTACATATCATTACTTGATTCAAAAGACTCACCTCATCATCACTGATAGCAAAATCGTCAATGAATTGACTAAATTGAGTGGTGGTGCCGGGGGAACGGTATTGCAAATTGAGTGACTCTGCGGTCGCACCTAACTCTGCATTACACGTGCATTCATTGCATTTGCATTCAACGTATTCATCGATTTTATTCAATTTATTAATAGACCGCTCGATGAATACATTTCTGTAATTTCTGTCATTTTTGTAATTTTGTATTTTTGTAGTTCTTCTTCACTTCAGTATTATTTAAAAATTTAATATTTTTCAAAACACTGTTTTCGGTCACTAAATCAATGGGTTTAATGAGCGACTGATTACAAGTGCACTCAACGGCACCGGTAGTCCTCGTATGATTGTCTCGGTTGTGAGGATTCACTTCTATTTGACTGCATTTTAAAGATTCATTTTCGGCTTGATTTGAATTTTCATTATTATTTACTCCCGTCTCATAAAGTATGGGAAATCTGTGTGTACTTTGTTTGACACTTGAATCGGAATTGAGTTTTTCATTTGAATCAGTGTTTATTGAATTCTTATAGTAATCCTCACAATTACAACCACAGGTACACTTCAATGCTGTGGTATTACTATTTGGCTTATCGATACTTTGAAATAGTTTGAGATTTTTCAAATAGTAGTTATGCATAATATTCACAATCAACTCATATTTTTATTACATATAACTCTCTCTCTCGTTAAACATTAAACGAAACACATTTAGGTTATTCTGCCAACAAAAATGAGCTAACATTTGATTTTTGTATCATCAAATGAATCGACAAAAAATTGTTTGACAAATCAAAATGTATACCAATTTACAGGTATAAGCCTGAGAAAAATGTTTGTATTAACTTGTAAGTAAAATATTTTAGGTTAAAACAAACCTTGTTACAACAGTAACTATGCCGTAATAAGTAAATTTATTTTTAAAACCCAATATATTTTTAATAAGACTTTTTAAACACAAACCAGTTAAATATTATATTTTATACAGTACCATTTAATTCCTAAATATACAAAAATATAAATATCGCTAATTTCATTTATATCCCTTTTGATTGATTAAACAATAATGTTATGAATTATTACAAAACCGATGACTTAACATAATATATAAATATTATTTATAACATTAAACCTAATAATCGCGAAATAAATGCAGACGAGTGAAAAACGAGTCAAATATATTTTTAAACAAAATTAAATTTCAATCAAACATTACATGATTACTTGAGAGCAAACATAATGTATATCATTAATTGTGCTACACTTTTATACAATCATTAATCTGATGACAGCCTTAATTGACTTAAATTGTGTGTTTAAGTGATCACTCATTTAAATTAATTTAGAAATTTGTTGGGAAAAGCACTTAATTCACTCATACCTTATACTTTTGCTGCGTTGGCATCGCTTTTGATAGAAATTAATTTGATATAAATGTTTGACTCCGACTTCAATGACAATACAATTTATAGCACATCACACACTACTGTATATCCAAATCCCTTTCCCTGTAATATTCAGTCTTATTCGGCAGCAAATGAGTTGAATACTTATAATTAGGAATATAATTGAATTCTATAAATAACACCACACCTTATTGTACAATAAAATTACGATAACTTTTTCACAAATATAATTAAAAGTCATTTGAGTATAAAATATATGATTACATAAAAACTGAAGAGTGAAAAACAAATCTAATTAATAAAATAAGTGATGGCATGGAGTGAAGAGCTAAACCAATACGAAACGTACAGTTAGTCTAAATAAAGGAACAGCAGCTCAGGGATGGTATGGGTATGGGATGTGCTCTTTAACGCCTGTGGAGAAGGGATGCAAAAAAGATTTTATGTTTACTTTCTTTAGCACTAAAAACACTTTGAATAGGGATGTGATGGCAGAGTGTAGAGAGAGATGCGTTTTCTTAGCGTTTTTCTGTACATCCGTTGCGGACATAAAAATAGCTCATAAGACGTGTAATTAATGATGTTTTGAGTGAAATGTTTGTGATATTTAACCGAAAGTTTCGCTGAATTTAAGGCACATGTATTTTTGACTAAAACTTTAAAAATGTTATGATTTTTACAAATTTAATGATAAACAAATATTTTGAATATACTAAAACATTTTTAATTAACAATAATGACTTTATTATAACTCATTTTAGACATGGATTAATACAGTAACAAAAATAAAATACTTTTACTGTTATCTCATTATAGTCAAATTAATTATTCAAGTTTTCTGAATGAATTTTTATATGATTTTCTTCACAATGAGGAATAAACAAAATGTGATTGAACACTTTAAAATATAATCTAGAGTATATATTGGTAAGAAATTATTACTTGTTGAATCTTACGTTGAAATTTTATCAAAAATAAGTATTTTATTCAACGCTATGTGTAAAATAAGCAAATTCATACAGTATTATATTTATTGGAGCTGTTCATTGAGAGCTTTATTCTTGTATTTAAACTTTAAATCTTTTTAAACATAAAATTTATAATTTATCTTTATATAACACTGAAATTATTATAAAGAAAATTACTTTAAAAAATAATCTTTATATTTAGAGTACAGTATAATCTTATGTTATTAGTTTTGTAAGAAAATCTTTTATAAATATTTTGTACCGTTTATACAATACAATATATTTTGTGCAACAACAACACTATAGTATAGTGACTATACCTTATAATTTTCAGTCAGAAAAGTGATCTCAAATATTAGTTAATTATGTTCACGCGGTATAATCTTCATAAATAATTTATTTTAAAACAATTATTAAATTGAAGTTTGTTTCAGAATCTAAGTTTTATTTATTTGGATACATAAACACACACTTAATTCAACTCAAGCCATGTATGATATATTTAGTAACTTATTGTTTTGTGATCATATCGCTGCCATATTATTATCAGTTTTATCTTTAATATAAAACTTCAATAATTATCAAATGAATTCTTCTTTCAGATATAGTTTTAAGTCATTTGTGAAGTAATTATTTTTAGTTCACTGACTGTTGAGACAAATAAAAATAATTTATAATGAATTTAAAGCCGGTTTTCAGAGGAAACACATTTAAATAAATAAAAATTAATTTTCCTTTTTATCGCTTCACTTGTAATAAGTATTAATAATAAGACATTTAATGACATAAAATCTGTTCATTTTATTGTCAGCTCGTCTTATATCGTAATTACAAAATGTTTGGACTTTTTTGTGCTAATAATTATAGATAAAGTTATTATTAAAAAGGGTAAAAATTATTATATTTTAATTTACTGTAATTTGTTATATTGGTTATATAAATTTACAATAAATTACACTGAATACACATTGTAATAATATATTTTGGAGAAATTTATACCGGTAAATTTTAATATAAGTTAAAACATTTTTGCAACTCATTCAATTCATTATTCTGTTTAGTATTTATTTCAATTTACAAAATATCTATAAAATTATGGTTATTTATTCAATCTATACAGTATATCCTTTATTCATTTCATCAAACATAACTTATTTGTGTAAATTATGTCACATAATTATCTAAGACTAAGTAAATTTAAAACATATTTTTCTTATGGATCTAAATCTTATATAAACAGAATTCGCATATTTATATACAATAAGTTCAGAGATTAACCAATAAGTCATTCATATAATAACAGATAAGAGAAAGATTTAAAAAGATTTTGAATACAAGTACAAGAATTACGAAAACACTTAAAAACACAAAAACACTTAAAAATGAATTCTACTGAACAAAAAACTAAAAAAATAAATACCTTTTTGTGTTTATGGTGTTTGTGGTGGGAATTCAACAAAATTTGTCGATTATTTTGATAGACTTTATGCGTTTGAATCAACACTTCGTGAACACTATTGACATGTTGTGTCCGATTCATGGCTTACAATGTCTCACAAGAAGTACTCTAATGAATGACAAATAAAAAGTAAATTCTGTCTCTTTTTATGAAAACTTTATTTTCTTAAAGTTAATTGAGTTATGAATGCATGTATTGGTTGTTGAATGTAAGCCGTGATGCGAATCATTGTTATGATTGTGAACCGCGCCGTCTGTTTCCTCAGTATTTGGTGATCCCTTTCCCCCTTTAACTCGTTTTCCAGTCGTAAGTCTACGAATAGAGTTGGCCCGCGAATGGTGGGGACATTCACCCCTCCCTGTCCTTCAATGGAGATGTGTTTAGAAGTTTTGAAAGTTTTGAAAAAAGTTTTCAAGCATTAAATAACATTCGCTTAAGGATTGCCTAAAAATAAAAACTATCGCACATAGACTGACCGGACAGTAGGCGTACACTGTTTGTCATTGAAGGGACATGTGGTGCAAATGTTCCCATAAACAGCACACATACTTCCCATACATCTCATTCCCATCCCGATGCCATCAGATTTGTTACATATGGTTAGGAAAGTCTTATTTACATGAGGGCTGACACCAGCACTGAACGCCTCATTCACTGAACCTCTTATGTGTATGTCTTTCATTGATTTATATGAATGATAGCCAATGAATGGGATGTGTGTCTCATATGATAACAGTTTGGATCAGTTCTCGGCTTAAGATCTTATCGCCAAAAAACGACTGAAACCATAAACTATGGAATGTTTGTCATAATTACAGACAAATATATATTTTTAATGTTTTCTAAAGTACAGGGAAAATAAATTAACTTTTTTTTATTCAAATTTGAGAATATTTGTTAAACTCTTCAAAGTGTTGGCAATCAATTGAATGTATTTTTAAAGAGTTATATTATTATTGATATGAAATCACTTGTGATATTTAAAAAGCAATTGACGATTAACGACAGGAGTCGTTCAAAAGTGTTTCTCAAATATAAAAACATTTTAAACTTTATTAGTTTTTTAAACACACTTGAAGTTTATGTCAAAAAATATAATGAATTATATTCACTATTCTCTCATTGTCTACCAAACTATGAATTTTGTTATTTTTCAAATTATACGTTTTAAATTACTTTATTATTATTTTAATTGCTTTATAATATTAAAGTGTTTTTTCTTACAGTATTTTCATTGTCTGATTGCTTACAAAACTTTTATACGTTATAGTAAAAACAAAAGAGTTATTATAAAGTATATGGACTTCTGTAAAATCAAACCAGTTTTGCTTTCTATGAAGATTTCATAGTTTGTTACTAATATAGATGCTTACAATAAGTGAGAATTGTTATGATAGTAGATAGAGTAGTAGAGGATTTCATATTTGTTTTTTAATGATTTTTGCACAATATATTGTTAGTTATGGTTCAGTTGAAGTTTTCGCACGTTTTGAGTGAATAAATATAAAGCATTTGCGAAATACCGGTGCATAAGACTGTTTCATACAGAAAGTCTGAGGGAATGTTATTTTAAACAATTGTCATTTAAATCTAGAGTCAATGATCACTAAAAATGACTTATATAACAAATCACATCTAAACCCCCATTGTTAATGAATTTCATTAAGAGATTTAAACAATTTATGATTATAATACATATTCTTGAATTTATTACTAGTATACTGCATATGATACACGTATTTCAATTTAAATGTTAATTTCTTAGTCATTCACTAATAACTTATATAAATAATTTTTAAAACTCTTGTTAAAAGTAAAATAACAAATAAATTTATTTCATTAAGAGCATAACAATCACAGGAATTACACAATAAATTAATTGCAAAAATGAATAAATTAAGTGACAAACGAAAATAGTCTCAATTTGGAAAGTATTGACTCAAATGTTGAATTAATAATACTTTGTGACGATATTGTCTACGAATATAAGTTTCTCCATTCAGTGATCACTCTATAAATTGTTAAAATAATTATGTTATAGGCATATAAGTTTAAAATATAAATAATAATCATAAATATTGAAAACATGACATACCGTTCCGACCCGAATATCATTTTCCCCCAATGAGTGAGTTTGTCATTGGATGAGAAGGCGATGGGACCCGAAATGACTCGTCCGATAACGCTATCAAACTTGAGTTTGCCTTTAAGACAGACGGATATGACAACTGATATCTCGTCTATAAATCCGTGCGGAGCTGTAATTCAATACACGATTATAACAGTGAGTGAGTTGTCGTAAATGAATGGATTTAGTCCCAAAACCATTGGGAATCCAATTATCAGATTCTGGTTTCACTGCAAATTCTCTCTGATTTATAATATTTTCATAAATTACTTAATATTTCTATTGGATTATAGAGAGATTTATTGCATTTTGGACCTAATTTAAATAATTAGTCTACTTTTGAAAATATAATTATAATGTTGCTTAATAATTACCAACAAAATTGAAAGTTTGATTATATACGGGATCGCAATTATGTTGGGCTGAAACTAAGCTTGTTTTCATTGACTTGATTTTATTTGAGGCACACATTAGGGTCACCTTAACATACGATTCCACGTTTGCTATCAATTCAATGAAATTATTTCAATAAAATAATACGAAACACAAGAACATTCAACAATAGTTACAATTATTGGTTCCTTTCAATAGACTTTCAAAAAGAGAGTATTTTTTCTTAAGAAGTCGTCGCGATCTCAGTATACCGACCGTCAGTCTATCGGTTGTCGACGAGTAACTCAACGAAACGAGAAGTTGGGGTCCGTTTGGATCAAAATCCAACTGAAAAGACAATCAATTCAATAGCTTTTGCACTTATGTCTCAAAAGTAATTTAACAATATTTTATTCATTAAAACTGCGAAACAAACCGTTGTTTGAGACTTGAAGGGAAGGCTATGTTTTTTGGATTCGCCCGCTTTAGTCATACAAGTGAGCGGCAAAACTATGTGTCCGATGGCATCGAAACGGCCCTGTCTTTCGTAGTCGTACAGCGAGAGTCTGAGCACCAGATTCTTGAGCGCATCCACTTTTTCCACTTCAAATATGAAGTCCTCGTGAAAGTGAGGGTTTAATGTGTTCTTCACTTTGCGCGACGATTGCACTGAAATGACATCCTTTGACGTGAAGCTGTTCCTCAAATTGGTCTCCATTTGTTTTGGCATTAAATTGATTTTTAATACCGTGTCGTATGTTTTCCTCCGCCCCCTGTGCGGCAAATCACACGCTTTATCCAAATGTAAGTTAAGCCTACATTTTAAAACATTTATAATATATACAAAAAATTAAAATATTTTTCAAAGTTGTCATGTGCTTTTTTGTTAACACAAGTGCTTTTTGCAAACATTTATTGAATATTAAATTTTAAAATAAAAATTAGCAAATAATTTGTAAACCTTTTTCTCTTTTGATCGTAATTTGTAGAGAAGGATAATATGCCGAAAGTCAGGGTCTCATCCTCTCCGCAATTTTCACTCTTATCACTAGTCATACACTTTGGACGACAACTCATTTCGCCCTCTTCTTCAGAAATGGCATTCCTCTCGCTTTTGACTGAAATATTCAACGTTTTCAGTCAATCATGTCTTTCCCAATACTAGCAAATTCTAACCACTTTTGATGACATCCTTATAAAGTGATAGTTTAATACTGGAGACAGAGTTCGTGCGCTCGAGAAAGTAGTCAGTGCTCGAGAACTTAACCATCCGTTGGGGCCATTCGTGACTCCTTCCCACCACTGCTCGCGATATGTCTGAATGCCGTCTCTGTGTGGGGTAACCGATGGGACCGTCATCCTCAGCGATGGTCGACGCGGAGGTCAGAGAATCTCTCTTTAGGTTTTTAAAACTTGGAGAAAGCGATTGAACTAAAAGTTCATTATTTTTATTATAAACTTAAGAAATTCTCAGATTTATATCAATCACTTTGCTATGTATTGGAAAAATTGTTTAAATATAGGGTATCTCACATCAATTTAAATCTAAAATTCTTTACTAAAAATAATTAAAGTTGCTTACTTAAAATTCTTAGATTCTTAGATTCAATTTTGCATTTAATTAAGTCAACAAAAATGAAGACCTGATTGCGTGGAGAAGCTTCGCTGTGGGACCCAAAAGCGTAAGATTTCGTGATCCTCTTCCTCCTCCTCTTTCAGTTGGTTCTGATCCGGACTTTTGTGAAGACAGTCCCAAATCCTACACCGTTGCAGACCTGCGAACAGGTTACTAAACATATAATTGGGACACATATCTGATTGTCTCAACGGTGGTAAATGAGGATCTGATTCATTAGCAACTGACGACATATGTGGCAAATAGTGGTCGCATACGAGTGCTATTCACAGTCTCTATTCAGTGATTTGCAGCGATAATGTGGGCGGCAAACAGGCATCAGTTCATTATACGTATGGCATATCGTGTACCAATATATTGGCTGTGTGTATATGCCGGCGCTCATTACTATTTAGAGTGATATTATATTTAAGGTAAAGACAGCAGCTTTTAGTGGAGTATTAGTTGTGAAAACAGATGGCAAAGAGGTGGAGGAACACCAATCCATTTGCAATCATATTGAGTGTATGAACAGGTGTCTCAGCGATCCATACAATTAATTCTGACCTTTCTATGTGTATATAAAGTTTGCAAATTAATTGTGTTTTCTCTCTCACTCGCTCAAGTGGTTTACTTTTCTGTGAAAATTATTGCCAATAAAACACTAACTTTATGTCCAAACTTCAATTTAATACTTATATAAACATCAATCACTAATTGAAAATCCAATGGGAAAATGGTTTTTAGAAGTTTTTATTTATTATACGAAACACCAAATGTGGTTATATTACGAGATTAATATGTTTTTGCCAAACAAACACTTTTGCAGACAATTCACTGAATTATGTGTATTAATAATGAATTTCGAGTCAAACCATTAGTTTGTTTACGAAATCTTTTAGACCAAATAAAACCAATTATTGTATTAACTAAATCTAATGGTAAAGACAATGTTAAGGTGATCTCAATTAAAAAATTTTCATTAATCAAAGTCATCCATGTACAGTACAGTAGCTATATTTACGTCATGAGTAACCCTTATAACCAACATTTGGCCTTAAAATTTTAAAATTAATTTATTTCTATAGAATTGGGTTAAAAATACAATTCATTTTTAAAAATTGAACAGACATTTCATACAATTAGTTATTTTCAGATATATACAGTATTCACCTAAAAAGGGCAATAATATGATAACTTTTATGGCAAACAAATCAATTATTGTTGTTAACCAACAGAATTACTCATATATAATTTATGCCCACATTTCCAGTGATAACTACCAGTTACTAAATAAATAGCTTTATCCGCACCTGTATCTCACATATACTCTAATTTTTGTGACTTTATTCTCGATTGTTAATTACATACTTCTGTTATACTGTTAAAAAACTGTATGTCTCTGTGTATGTCCTCTCATTCATGGGTGTAATAATTGGTTAAACATTAATTTCATTGCTATTAAGAGAATCCATATATTCAGCGAACAAATTGTGACAAATATTATAAATCTTTTGTTTTCCAGAATTTTGTTTTAAAGGCTCAACAAATAAATTAAAACTAATGCTTAAATACTTGAACACCGATTGACGTCAAACCTCTCGTTACATTTACCACAAAAACTATTACATGAATAATAATAATTACAAACGACTTACAAAAGTGACAAACAATTTATGGTTATTTAAACTCAACAGATATGAGAAGCAATTGCTTGGAAGCGAATGGATATGAAGTGATTGCACCTGTTTTGGTGAACAAATACTGATATTGTATTATATTATTTTCAAACACAAGATATTATGTGAAACATTGTTTTAGTGTTTGCTTTTTTGCAAGATGTGATTCAATTCAATCTGAAAGTACACTACTTTTTGACTAACATTTTCAACCGAAATGACTAAAAATCAAAACCAGAGTGAATTGAATAACGATTCCGTCAAAAGTGTTAATATTATGAACGATAAAAAATCATTAAACATGTATTTCAATAACTATCCGGAAGTTGCAATACCTGTGTTATTGATTAGCATTTGTTTCATAAGTTTTCTTATGTATTACGTGTGGAGATCTGTTAGAAATTATAGACATAAGAAGTCACAACTGGCGGCGCTCACATCCAAGCCCTCCAGTTCCCATCTATACTCGGGAGTGAAAGCCTCGCAGACCATCGAGTTTGTGGTGCCGACCATTACACTCAAGTGTACGGAACCGTCGTTTTCGGTGACCGAGGAGTCCGACTCCGATTGTTTGATGCAATTCCCGTACAATCCGTTGAATCGCAAACGAAACTCCAATATTCAGATCAATGAAAACGAAATCAGCAAAAGTCTGTACGAAGAGCTGCCCGCAAAACCAGAGGACAGACCCGAAATCAATTTCGTTCTTCACTATAGTTTCGTTAGACAACAACTGCTTGTCGTAAGGGTTTAGATGTGTTTTGAAATTTATAGTCAGTATATATTTAATTATAGAGTACTGTATCTTAATATTAGCTAGCAGTAAATTAATAGATTTTCGTTGTCTACAAATTATGAACTAGTAAATTAAAAAGCTAATTCATTTCAATTTATTTTCAGACACTATTATCAGCCAGGAATTTGTGGCAAAAGCGAAATCACGTGAATCCGATGGCAAAAGTGGTTCTCTTACCCGAAAAGAATCCTAAATTCATTACAAAAGTTCAGAAAAATACAGCAAATCCTGTATTCAATGAACTCTTCATATTTCAAGCCATAAGAAACACATTAGACGACAGGGTATTGAAGATAACAGTGTATAACGCGGACTCATTTTCCCGAAGACATGTCATCGGAAGGACTTTATTTCCTCTAAAAACGGCTGACATTCACAGTCGCATCAGTAAAGACATAATGACTGAAGACATCAGTTGTCTGCTTATAAATGTAAGAGTTTGTGATTCATGTGTTTTATGAAAGATTTATTAAATTAAATATAATTTCATTGTCAGAGTCGTCCATCGGGTGAACTTCTCCTATCCCTCGCATATGACACCAACTCTTCGACACTAACTTTGGGTACTCTAAAGGTTAGGAATATATTCGACAAAGAAATTGAGACAAGTATTGCCCCTTTTGTTGGCTAATCTAATCATAATGTATACCTAATCTCTAATTGTTGTCTATTTGATTAGTTTATATGAAAATTGTTTTGTTTGACAAACGAAAGCGCATAAGAAGTCGAAAGACTATTAACCGAAAAGTTGAGTCAGAAATTGAATTCAATGACACTTTTCATGTAAATGCCACCAAAGAAGCGCTCAATGATGTGAGACTTTTGACAATTATTGACTTTATTTTAATAATTAACTTTATTGCAGGTAATTATCAGTATCGCTGTCTACGGCAAGTCTCACACATACGTCAATAAACACCTGTTAGGCCGCACACATGTGGGACAGTCGTGTCCATCACCGCAGGGACGACAGCACTGGACGGAAATGTGCGCTAATCTTACTGACCCTATCAATCAATGGCATATATTTTCATAAGTTTCACCGTTTGCTTGAACTAAAAAAATATTAATACGTTTACAAACAGTTTAATTTTGTTAAGTTTTGAGATTTTATTTATCGCACCAATTTTACATCAAATAAATAATGTGTTTTTTAATTGTTTTACATTTGTTTATATAAAAAAAAGTTATTTACAAATCTTATCATCTTATGTTATAAATATACATAAAAATTAATATCTTATATTAATGCAAATGCAATGATATGAAAATAATTATATTATCTACACTTTGAAAAATCAATGAATGGTTAATATAAATGTATGATCGTGTTCAATTATAAAAGAATTCATTGTTTGGGAAATCACTGACTAGTCTTATAAACATTAATTACATAAAAAAGTGTAATTTTAAAGATTAATGCATTACTTGTACGTTAATTTAAAAATACAAAACAGACATCAAATCTATATCACAGTTAATTTTGAACCAAAAAATATTCAAAATGTTGCCTTTTATTTGACATTTCTTTGAACTGTTTTGCGGATCCATTTCACAAGATTTGGAACCTATTTGTGTGGAAATGAGATAAAAATTATGAATAAATGAAACTTCAATTAATTTTTAAGTGCACTTACTTTAGCGTATATACCATATCTCCCTTTCCTTCCACATCCCTCACCAAAACTGTTTCAATAAAAATTATTTATTAAAATCTAAAAACTTATATCAATTAGTTTCGAGTGAATACCTCGTTATCCCGTAAACAAACCACTTCTCCGTAGTCTTCTCATCAATCGTTATCTTTTTGCTGAACAGTAGGGGTCCACCACTATCCCCGGCACAACTGTCCACTTTACCCCGCTTATATCCCGCACACACCATATTATTCGAGATAAAGTAGTTCTCGTAAACGGCTTTACAGTCGTTGACGTCGGCGATGGGCACCTGTGCCTGATGTAAGACGTCGGTGCCAAACATGGCTGAGTTGCGGCGTTTACCCCAACCCAGGATTGTTCCCAAACTGTTGACAGACATCTCGTCGTCAGGCGATGGCAAACATACCGGCGCTACGAATCGATTGATTTTAAGCGGAGTTCGCAGCCGAAGAATGGCGATGTCGTTGTCGACGGTCTCGGCGTCGTAGTCCGGGTGCACGAAGATGTCCGACACTCGGATCTGCTGCTCGTATCCGTCAGCAAAGATTAGGTCGTGCTCTCCGGCCCTCACATACAGACGCCTTCTCACGCAATGAGCTGTAATTGAAGTGATATTTTATGTTCTGATCACAAAGTTTGCTAATAAAGAGTGCAATAAATTACCGGCAGTTATGATAAATTGAGGCGATATTATGGTTCCCCCGCAGAAGGGCTCGTGATATCTGTTGAGAATGGAGACCATCCACGGCCACCGACCTTTCGTCGACTCCCGGCCCCCTATTATACGCAAATTACTGGCCATATCTGTCATTATAGAGCTGACTCCGCAATTGAGATCATCGACAGAGTCATCCTTTGCCTCTTCGGTGGTGGTGTTGGCGGCGGGGGTCTCGACATTAGGCGTCGCACTGTTGGCCACATTCTTCCTCTTATTCTTGTATAGCTTTTCGCACGGACTGCCCGCCATATAGCACAGGGCGTCCTCCTGAATGATACTATTGCCGCAAATCTGCTTCATTTCGCACGACCGCGACCTCCGGGTGCGACACGCGGTCGTACAGGACGACCACTCAGACCACTGCGAGTAGACGTAACTCTGCAGGTGATAGAGCACCCGGAACTGCGAGGCCCGACCTCGTCCTCTCTGAGGCACATCCTGTACTGGAGTCGATGTAGACATATCTTCGTTGAGCAGACATTTACCTCCTCTACAGCCCCTCTCCTCCTTGAGAATGGTTGAGCCGCAGTAGTCGTTGGACACACACTGTCGGGTCCGCACTTGTTTGCAACGGCGCCGACATTTACTCCATTTAGACCATTCACTGTAGATATCGTCGTAACTCAATGTGCCGACAGTGGCGTCAGATTTGGATTCATTCAGAGATCTTTGCTGAACGATCACCATATCATTGATACGACTCACTCTCTATTGACAGTCAAATTGGAGAGTATTTTAACGTTTGTGACAAATTGCATACAAAAATAGGGTTAGAATTAGAATAAGATTCACTACAATATGCAATACATTTTAGCGTACACTATATTTGAGCTTACAAACTTGCAAAAAGCTTTACAAACTCGTGTTGCAACAGCATAGAAGTTAATATAATGCAACTTGGTCACTTACCACTCTCTGGCGGTGACGGCGTCTATGCTTTAGTCCCTCTCCCAGAGTGGACATCGAAATGAATAAAACAAAAGCACAAAAAGCAAATGTTCTCAAAAACATTGTGATTACAACTCAATGATTACAACGAGTGATGAGATGAACGCGAATCAAGAGTTCGCCCAAAAGTGTCAGAAAAGTGAAGAATTCGTGACAAATAATACTCTACTCGTCGACGGAATCGCAGGTTTGTCTGCAAATGACTTTCAGCGCTAAACTTAACGAATGCTAGACTCGTGTGAATTCCTCGTTTCCATTGCTTAAACACACTCTTAAAAACAGGTGTCTATTGATCTAGAGGTGAGATATAGAGCTGACAATCGAAAGCAGCCATTCCCTCACTGCAGACCTCATCCATAAAAGCTTAACTTATTTGACACAACGTTTAAATCAAACAAAAGCAAACATAAGCTCATAAATGAGAGAAACACAAGCCATTCAGCCAGGACTCTAAGATTAACGATTCTCTCGACTTTTTTCTTATCATTTTATAACTCTTTGATTGACGGAGTCGTCGCTTTACTTCACTTTTATATTCATATTACTAGTATTATTCTGTGTGTTATTCTACGTGTAGTTCATGTTGTCATTTGTTATCTCATTATTGTTTTATGAAAAAACAACTTTTTACTATAATTGCAAAAAATGAGATTAACGTTGTTAGAAAGTTTCTCAAATAATGCAAAACTTATCAAACTATTGATTACCAGAAATCGATGACTGAATGCATTCGCAGTTTTTGCAAAATTCTGCATTTGATTAGATTTAGTGGGTTCTGGGAATGTGTGTCAAACACGGCCTAATGTTTGCAATTACTATATATTTATCAATAGATAGCTATATACTATATATATAGTATATAGCCTATAGATTAATAGTTTTGGGGAATTCGTAACTCTTAAGACAACAAATACAAGAAATATAAAAGTGGAGTCGATTAGGGACAGCCTTGTGGTAGGAGCACAGGTGTGAACAACAATGTATGTGTGTGTATGCGGACAACCATTACCCCAGCGCTGTCCTCACTGCACATCTGTACAACTAATACCAGCCAAAGGATGAAAACTTTATTTGATGTTTGAATTATACCATATATTGCGCTCCTCTTTACCTCAAAACTTAAGGAATTACAAGTCATTTGAAAGCACGTGCGCTCTGTTGCTCTGTTTTATGGCATTACATCTTTGTATGGGTAACGGCCACCCGGCCCATCACCACCACCTCATACACTCAGCACATACAGCCCAAGTCAGACAATAAAAATGACAAAATGAAACCAAACATTTTAATTCAAGAGAATTTCAAATATATAAAATTTGCTTTTAAACTCAAATTCATCTAAATTTCTATAATTTCATTTTTAAGATAAATTATCTCTTAATTTAAGTCAACTTTTTAGAGTATTTATAAAATTATAAAAATGGCAAAAAAATCATGAAATACTGTATATAATGTGTATACTGTTCACTTGTCTAAATTTCAACGAATTTATGGTTTTATGGATTAAATTAAGTCTTAACTAACGTTAAGCTTTGGGTATAAAGTAGATGAGTCGCGTCAGCATCGATGTGACGCACGGGATCTGCTTCTTCTGATGAAAGCTCGGGTCATTGGGAACACAGGACTCGTAATCATAGGCCACTAATCTGTTGACAATAGTCATCATAGTGAGCACATCCATATTCTGCGAGTGTTTGCCCAACACATGGGTCAACGCCTGTATAAACCACGAGCCCTGCGTCGTGTTTCTCCACGAATAATACCCTATAAATCAGTTTTTACTTATAAATACTTTTTTAAACAAATATTTTTAGCCTTTAAACATACCCGGGACAGTGCTGTAGGCGATGAGAAAGTCCGCATAATTGGGGATCCGGTAGTAGCCGTGTCCGGCATCGGTCACGTCGAAAGATTGGCGAACAGCCACTCCTTCGTCCAATCGGTCGCCCTGACAGGCCTACAGCACATCCATTCAAATAACAATTATTTTTTTGATTGACTGATATATGAATACAAGTATATTGAGAGCAATGCAGACCTGAATGAAGAATATCTTGGGCTTAGAGGCCAGAGTGGGGCACTGATCGCCTTTGAAGTAATTGAACACTTTATCAGTTAAGTATTTCTCATCCCTGGGGGTATTCTACGGGACAAGAGGTACTCAGTCATACGTTTGGTGTTACGTTAGTGAAACTGACACTAGGAGAAACCTGTGATTAACCATTAGTTAAGTAATTTAGTTATTTAGTATGTAAATACGTTTTAATACAATCCTAACTTAAATTCAAATAAAAGCTCAGAGAGTGGGATGTGTTTGTGAACTACAGTATAATTCAATTAAAACTCTATTTGCTTTGATTTTAATTTGAGATTATGATTAAAACACTTAAATTACCATTAATAAGACTAACAGTCCCTCAATTGATATTTACTTAGCATTGAATGAATGTTTTAAAATGTCATTTAGATTAAGCCATGACATGACCAATGAATGAATACCTCTGTCGAGAGTGGAAGTAATCTCTTTGGCGGATGGGTTCTCATAAATGGAGACATTGAAGTCCAGTGACCGGAAAGCGCCGGCAAGATCTCGGGCATCGGCTTCCGTACCCCTCCGCTCGTTAAGTCGCGTACAGGAGTCGAAAGTCTTGTTGTTGAAGATGAGACACTGCCCACGATTCCTGTGCTTCATATTATACGTAAGACTGTCCACAGACGTTGACAACTGACCCACGGATCTGCTCCCAGCCCTGCCTCTGAAGCTACCACACAAACAACAGTGGTAATTACGTAAAGTGCTGTTAAGTATGTACGTAAGTTAATGTGCAGTTTATATGAGGACCGCAGGTGACTTAGCGGGCTAGCCGAGTCCTAATCCCCAAGCGTGCCTAGTGTGCGGAGGAGTGGACCATCCCCTCCACCGCCACTGGAGTTACCGTTATCTACAGACATGCCATTCAGTCAATTGGGTCTTAATTAGCATTACAATCAATACTCACTGTTCAACGTATCGACCAAATCAGCCATCAATTTGAATATATGACTGCAATATGGGACACAAAAACACATTACTATCGCATGTAATCAACTAATTGTCACAAAATCAGTGCAAAATATGCCACAAATAATTAATATTACGTCAAGTATTAAGTCATTTGATTACCAAAACACTTGATAAGTATGCAACTGCATGATCAAGTGCATTTACACATTTACTCAATGGGTCTAACATTTAGCACTACTATGATATGCAATATCAATACAGTTGACCACAAATGCATGTATGAGTAGTTAAATGCACTGAAATGATCAATGATCAAGGTGATTGACACGATTGTTACAAATGATTACAAACTTAGGCTTTTTTGACAGTGAATTTGTGGTCAACTGTTGCACCCATTCATGTGATATAACAGTAATTGTGGTGAAGTATGGCATGACTTACAGAAGCGTTACAAACATGTGATCCGAGAGACCATCGGTTGTCCACTAAATGCCGTCAATCGATGACTCAATCAATGGCACGGATTTGAGTCAATCTATGAGTCAATGCAACAAAAGACGAGTTTTTTGTTGTTTTTGTTTTCAAAACACACAACAAATCAGCGCTTTGTTCGCCAAATGGGGGACCGATTATGCATTGAATATCATGTCATTGAACGCAATGCTAATAAATTGCCACTTAATCCAATTGAATGCTATATTAATGATTCAATTTTGGATTCATTAATGGAAAAGTTTTTATTTGTCAATATAAGCATTATATGATTGGAAAGTAAGCTTTTTAATAGTAAATGTTGATATACTTTTGAATGTCATTGTCTGTTAATCATCACTTGTCTTGTCTTATCTTATCTACAAATCTATGAATAATATTCTGTAGATTTACTTGAATTAATACTAACTTATTTAAACTACCAATATACTAATTTACATATAATTTTATTACTAATTGCACATAATATACATATAATTATGAATAAATAGCATATTCATAAGACTAATAAATGTACTCATTACAAGCATAAGTTTAAAATATTAATTTCAATACAAAAGTTTTTCAAATACATAAACACTGCACGTTAAAAATCAAAAACTTTAAACGCTAAAGAATTATGTATAACAAAAAGTATTGAATCCATAATTCGCGATAAAAATGTTATTAAAAACAAATAAATAAAAGGTTTTAAAGAATTAGATGACGAGCAGAAAAAATAAATACATTTGCAAACTATATTTGTATATCTAATATAAATGAGCGTAAAAAGCCTTCACTAATATATCCGGAAACTTATTTAACGTCAAGAATTTCAAACACTTTAAAACGCGATATACAGGCAAACCTTGCTTTAATAATAGGCCTCAATATTATTAATAGCGTTGTTAACAGTGTTTAGGCATTGAAAGCAGAAATATTCAGTTTTCAAAATACTTTAATAAGAAAAATATTTGGAAAATTGTTTTTCAAATCACTTGACAAAATATAATATATTAATTTTATGCTAAATACCCAAAAAAGGCAAACATATAATTATATGATAATTAAATTATAGTATCCATTGATACGAGGAATGTGTTGTTTAGGGCTCTGAGTGATTGAAACGATTATTCAGAGAAATGGTTAAACAATTGTAAAGTGAAACCAATGAAGAAGAGCTGAGAATCACTAATAATCTCAAAAACTAATACATCACTTGCCGTACGTTGTGTCACAAGAAGTGATTCAATAGACAAGAGTTATGCAACAAAAGCCATAAATCATAGCATAGAAAGAGTGTCACAAATGAAGTCTTTGGGAATATATTGAAGTCCATTGGCTTCGCGACTGAATTGAAAAGTAAACGTAGAAAACATTAAATCACTTATTAGTGAAACGGATTCAAAACGTGATCATTGCATAAGACTTTCATTTTCATGGATTATTTATTGATTATATGATAATTGATGTGATATAATGAATACATGAGTAGTTATCAAAGAGTTGTTAAACTTTATATAATAAATGTTTAAAACGATTAATTACTTTTAAAAAGTGATTAAAATATAATAATTTATTCCTAAATAAAATATAACTAATTTACATAAAAATATATATATATATCGAGATAATTATGGATTCAAAAAAGTTTTGTGAGAAATGATCTGAATTTTGCCGGAAAAGGACACTCCGGGTCTGAATCAGTGGTAGTATGCGAGGTATGAATGGATGTCTTAGTACTCGTGCTGTCACTGGAACTGATTTCCATCGAAGCAACCCTTCCTAATGTCATATCTGTTTGAACTAATTTGTGGCTCATTTGCAGCGTTTGTGTCATTTGATCCGCTTTTGACACATCCATGGCTTGAATGCCAACACTTCTAACAGTTATGTTCCGAAGTCTGCCACCGATTGCACTCACGTTGGGATCAAATGTCTGATCCCTTCTATTAGCCGTCACTGGAGTCGAAGTCCTTATCATTGAATCAGATATTTGTCTCAAACTTTGCTCAAACTCTTTCAACTTTTTGTCAATCATTAGATCCAATAGTCGCTCAATATTTGATACATTTCTCTCTTTTGTAGCTTTCGGTGACACTTGTGGTGACACTCGTGGCGAAGGCTGAGGATTGTTATCAATTGAATGGTAATCGTTATCATCGGGTGAGACATTTGGTTCAATTGGCACATCATTTGCATCACTTGAATCCACATTTGCATTAATTGTCACTAAATTATCATCTCTTGTCTTATAATAACAGACCGTCGAGTCATTGGAGTCTTTGGACCCCTTCTTCCTATCCTTAGGACTACTTCTTGGGATATCCTCAACCGGTTTGGTGGTTGTGGTCACTGATGGCTTCACCAAAGGTTTAGATCTTTGCTTATCTGAAGATCTCTTCTGAACGGTCTTTACAGTGATTTTGTGGTGTCTGAAGACATTGTGGTAATCAAAGGGTGTCTTAAACTTGAATGGAGGCAGAGATGAGATGACACTGACTTGCGATGGACTGAAGTAATAGTTGTCACATCGGGTCAGACATGAGGTCAACCGAAACGACTGCAACCACTGGTCGGCTCTTGTCTTCAATTTGATCCGTCGGTGGCGGACGAGTCGAAAGCGACACTTCTTGGGCATCGCATCCATTTGGTGTCCAATCGCTGGTTGTTATCATTATTTGCGATCAAAATGTCATGAATTTTAACTCAAACTTCATTTTCTAACAAAACTTTTTAAAAACCTATTTTTGTGGCAAAAATGTATCATTTTTGTGGTAAAAATGTATCATTTTTGGTGTCATTTTGGTCTCACATTCAGTCAAACTCCACAATACTATGTATTGAATACGAGTTTCACTTCATAGTCAACACAGCATTGCATTCATTGTATTGAATGGCAAAAGTTGGAAATGAATTACTGAAGTGATTAAGAGTTCATTACGTGTAATCAATATTGCATTTATTTCTCAATTCAAATGTCTGTTTTACATACATTACTGCCATTTACACAATATAGTTGATATTGTATAATGCTTACAATTTACTTAATGTAATACCTTATTATTAAGTTATGTAAGGTTTACCAACTTTTCCACACCCCCTCCCTTATCAAATATTTTTCAATACTTGTCTAACAAATCTGAGAAAAGTTTTTTAAATCTGAATGCTTGTAATACAGATGTTTTTCTGAATAGATTTTCGCATTTTATACCACTATTTGTCAAAAGATTAGCAATTTTGTGAGAAATGTTGAGCTGATGTAAAACTTGAAAGACATTGAGTCTGAAGTGAAATGAATAACAAATGAACGAAACATATGATAAGAATGCCAATGAAGTCATGAATGAATTGAATGGTTGCGGAAAAGTCCGAAATGGGCGCAGAGTTAGCGCTAAAACAATGGCAAACAGTAATTAAGTTATAATTAGACGGAGGGAGAGAGGGATGCGATGGGGATGTGATGTGAAGGACAGACATGGAGTGGAAACTGAGTGCCAAATACACTCCTAATAAGGCTATTCTTGGAGAAGGTTTCGATGCATTCACACAAGTCTTGCACTCGTATTCTGGTATTAATACTACTCCGGAGTGTTTGGGTATTATATAGACTGAGAGCATGAGCTGATGCGAGTAGAGAGAGAGAGAGAGAGAGAGAGAGAGAGAGAGCACGAGGGATGCGATGCCAGGGCTGGTGTGTCACCAAAATAAGATTTTTACTAAATTTGGTCGCAAACGCTCACTTAGATTACAGCACAGATAGCACTCCGCATCCGATGGTTAGACCTACAAGACTCGCTCACTTCAATATATTGTGTTTATATGTTTCGCACCGAGCGATGAGTTAGTGTTTCATTTGGAGATAATATTATATTTTCAATAACTTAATAGTCAGTCATTGGAAGTGATTGTGTGGGCGACCAGAGGCACACACATCAAGAAGTCATTTCTAGTTGTATTTTGACTATATATGGAATGAATGCTAAATCGAAATGTAAACTCAATAAACAAATGACCGTCACTTCGCACAGTCCTATCAGTCCTGTCCGACAGACCGATAAGTTTCACACGAAGCAAGTGTTTCACACGAATGGCGACAGACTTAGTGTTGAATTGTCGTCAGCGAGGAATGCGGTGAATGGTGTGCCCATAGAGTCCCGGTGTGGCCAACGGGCCGACCAGTCCTCGTCCATAATTCTGCGCCAAAAGCTTCTCCACCGCAACAAAAACGGCTCAATCGGCGGATTAGCCAACCCTTCAAAGTCAGCCCGCAAGAGCTACAGCCGTTCCCATAACAATGGCTTTAAGTTTCACAACTTTGTGGTGAACGAAGACAAGCGATCGTGTCTTGAGGAACAACACGGAACCAAAAAGATCACAGTTTCTCATTGGAAGCGACCAAACACGACAACCACTGTCAATGATGACTCTCATCAAAGTATAGCCCATCCGCCCCTTCCGTCCCATTCAATTCTGGAGACTCTGTTGGCGCCCAACCCCTCAAACGCGTCCACTTCTCCCACCATTGATGACAAACAAAGAGTAAGTAAACGAAAGCCATTACATGTCCGCCGAGTTCTCCGTCAGCACCGCAACCAAAAATCACTAGATCTGGAGCCACAGGACGAGCCCCTGGATCTGTCTTTCAAGCGAATCGACTTTCATGAAAATACTGAAACTAATGACTCGCAAGAATTTGGCGATTCTTTTGGCTTAAATTGCAATCAAAACGAGACATTTATGTCGGAATATCCCACAGAATCGGAATCAGTGCAGCATTTAATCAAATCAGTCAATCAATCGGCAGCTCAGGCGTCGGCTATCATAGCATCGGTCAAGTGTCCCATAAGTGCTAACTTCTCATCAAATGCTTCATCCAATGCAAGCAATGACTCGACATTAGCGTCAAGACATCAAATCGCAAGCAATTCTGGAATTTTGTCAAAACAGCAAAAGAATAGACAAACGCATAGAAGTCTTATTAAGAAACAATTGGAGGAAACTTTCAAACAAAACGGCTTTTTAGTGAAGGTATACCAATATGTCATTTAATTAATCATTCATTATTAATAGTAGTCCTTAATGTTGATGAACACGAGTGCTCTTAACCCTAACCCTAGCAATACTTTCAGCAATGATAACACTGAATATATTCCCGTCAAATCTAATCCATATTCATGAGCTCTTAAGTTGATATTCATATCAAAATGAATTCATTTATTTCATTGTATAAAATATGTATATTTCACTTAAATTATTCTTTCATATCTCTAAGCAAGGGAATTACCCATAGATAAGGTCCCTCACATTTCCCATAATTATATTTAATTCACTTTAATTACTATTACTAAACATTTTTTCAATTAATTGTATTTTTGATAACATTTTATTAATAAAATAATTAATATTACCAATTAATATATTAATTAACATTATTATTAAATTATTTGTAGACAATCAAATTGCTTACTAACAATATCTGAATAATAAACACATGTAATACTTGAAACATTAATTATTCTGTATATAAAATGAAAAATAATTATTAACTTATAAGCAGTTTGTGAGAAAACAAACAAAATTAAAGCTATTTTTAGTCGATTGCGTCGATAAGTCATCGCTTTTAACACTCTTTTGAATGTCACAACTGAATACTCGAGCCTTACTTTAATGTTATTAATATTTTTTATAAATAAAAACTTTAAATGACTTTCTACTCATTAAAACGAGTCCCAGAATTACATTTTTATATCTCAATTGATATTTTGTTTTTATGATTATTGCTTTAATAAAGTGCATTTAAAATCTCTATCAAATGGTTAATAGCATTTAGTGTAAAACTTTGACCAAATCTTTTAAAACCACTAATGTTAAGAGATTTGAATCACGAAACTATAACTAAAGCCTATTTTGCACTAAAGAATTAAAAGTATTTTTACTCATTTAACACTTATTTCTCATACAATGCAGTGTATATACAGTGAATAATTAATATTTAAATTGGCGTTTCTTAATGATTTAATTGTAGTCCACAGTTGAGTGAGATTTTCATGATTTCGAGCAATTAATAGATAAATAGACAATTTGAGTGACAATAAGGCGTCGACTTAATTATCTGAGGAGTAATAAAACAAAATTAAACACAACAAAAATGGTTTGATAACTATCTGTCCTTATATTAGTTTGATGATTAATTGACGTAAATATGTCATAAAATTAAGTGATTATCAGTAATATAATTAAGTCATGATTTTGCCATAAATTTGTGTTAAGCTTTCCTGTGAATTGAACACTAATAATAAAATAAACAATAAATTGATTTCTTTAGAAATGAATTGATATATCTGTAACTTACTGTATAGACGATTGGATGTTTGGAAAACTTTTTTAAAAAACTAATCATCAAACTCTAACAATTTGTTTTTGCCATTTAATGGGAATTAATTGATATTTGACGAAATGAGTGGAAAACTAAAATTAATTGAACGCTTGATTGCATTTGCAGACCAAACAAGTGAGTGATGCAAACAATTCAGCGATGTTTTGTAAGTTCAGACAATTACGCAAATATACCCGATATTACCTGAAGTCATGGCACCACCATTTGCCCGATGAGGTGAATAAGTTGTGGAAAGGTTTCTTACCGCCCAAAACAGAAAAGCCTAACTCTAGTCATAATTAGTTTTGATTTCTTTTGTGAGTTTATGTTACCTTTAATCTTAAAACAAGTGATAAAATTTTGCCAATTTAAGCATAAAAAACAATTAAAGTCTTTATATAATATTCTAGTCTAAATACTCTCTCACTGTATATTATATTAATGTTTTGTCAAATGATTTGATTTATTGACTAATAAAATGTTATTTCTTATCACGTATTGATGTTTCACTTCTTTCCAATCATTTCAAAAATTTATATCATTTTGTTGTCTAATCTCTAAATATTGCAGTTATTGAGGAAACCATAAATGCATTAAAAGTTTTATGTTATAGTCATAAAAGTTTTATATTATTTCACGAAAATAGTGAACACATTAAATGTTTGTTTAATTAACAAATCAAGAAACAATTTATATATTTTTCAAACTCTTATTACGAGTTTTGGATTTAATTGAATTTGAATAAAAATGAAAACTAAATTTGTTTTTATTATATCATATCATATAAATTATATATATATTTAAAGGATTTGTCAAATATTGAATTGAAGGCACACATAATTGAATTACAAAAGCAAAATTACATCATCATTATTATCATCACAATAAACGGATAATTTAAAAGTAATTATAAGGTATATCTCTAAACAAAAAAGATTTGATATTTCAAAATAAATGAAGATTTGCAACAAAATGATTTTGGTTTTATAACTTAAGTAAAGTTAAGTAATCACAACATTATAACAAAACTTTTAATAAAAATAACTGTTTTAGAAATGGGTTTTGTTTTAAGAAAATTAATAAATTATTGCAAATCATAATTTTATTGCAAATTTAATTTTGAGAATTGATTTATTATTTTTAAACATTCAGTATTTAGAACTTAAAAAGTGTTTCAAACTTTGAGAAGTTTACAAAAAACATTTCTGACATTTGTTTCAACAAATTATTCACAGAAATATATAAACTTTTAAATGTCCTTAAATATGACATAATATGCTATTTCTTTCGGAAATATTTTGTATTGTTTTTAAATAATTTTGTGCGAAATATACAGTAAAATTAACCTTAAATTACATTTCAATTACTAATTATTTGTTTGATCCGCGCTCTCAATCTTAGATTTTTATTAAATAAATAATTAGAAAAACAAAGTTTCAAATATTGCCTCAAATTATTTAATTATTAATTTATATTCAATATAAACATTAAGAGATCATTTAACAGCTATTTATAAATTTTATGCCAATTATATAAAAATTATTGAATTCTTGGATAAAGAGTTCGTTTGGATTTGTTTTTTTCAATCAAAGGATTTTAAATGAAACAAAATATTCGTAAGAAATTAAAGACTATTTATGCAAACAATTGGATCATAAAATTGAACAAAAATTCATCAATGAATTCAAAGCTCTTATTATTTTGAGGTGAAAGTGAAGTCTCAGGTAATGTAATGAACGGATGATTTCCTATTTGACATTATGTCTGATGAGGTGATGGAAGGCATAGCGTAAGGTCGGAGGTCAGGCGACGGACAGCATGGCTGGTGTGGAGGCCTCGGAGGAGGGAGGGGTCGGCAGTTGCGGCACAGATATTGAATCACTCGACGAGGTGGTCATAAGTGGAGTCTTAGACCTATTATTCACAGATGATATCGATGAAGAGGACGACGATCTGACTTGTGGACAATGAGGTCGCGCCAACTGTTCAATACTGAACGGACTATTACGGGGCGGACACGACGGCAATGGCGACGGAGAGGCCAGTGTTGGCATTTGAACTCTGGAGTTGATATCGTTATGGATCTGATGCATGAGTGGCAGGTTGTGGTGAGAATGAGGTAAGATATAATCACTATTAGGAACTGGAGGACTCGATAGGCTCAGCTCTGTCGACGACAGTGTCATGTTATCGGCATCGCTCTCATTGGCACTCTTGGAATCAGGAGTGGGAGCCTCTATGCTGTCCACACTTCCGATATTGTCTTCACTTTCACCGGCAGTGTCGCCGTCTTTATAGCGAATGCACTTCTTTTTCCGCCTAAAAACACGGACACAAAAAACGGTACAATTAATGGTAAACCAATTCCAACACACAAATCACACAATCATGACATACCTGCACGGTTTGCACCAATTGTTTTGTTGGTCTAACCCGAATCTGGCCCTACATTTCTTGAGTGCTCCCCCTTCTGTAATATCACAATAAATCATACATCAGTTAAATCGGCAATCATTTGGCAAATATCACTCATAAATGAGATCAATATTTGACGGATCAATACCTCCGTCACTATTCTTGTCGCGCTTTTTCTTCTTTTTCTTGGCGTTGGCCGCGTAGTTATCTCTAGCCGTCCATCCGGGGTATAACTGCATGTGTAACTGCCTATAGATGCAACACAATGGCAAACAATTGTGAGATAACGACACTCCACACAATAAATCTATCATTTTATAAATCATTTCAGAAAAGTGAACACAAAGTCGAAGTGATAAGCGCCGAGAAGTGAACACAATTTTCCAGCAAATTATATACATTTAAATAAAAATAAAGCAAAAGTTTTTGTGCGATAGTCTTAAGGCGAGAGTGTATTTCAAAGTCACGTTTAAGTGCGGAGAAAAGGGGACTGGAGTTGTCTTTTGAATAATTATATTAATAACACTGAGATATAGTACATAAGTAAAACTAACATAAAAATAACATTTAATTAGCTCTTATTATAAGTGAAATAATTAGCGAATAGATTCTCACTAATAGATTCTTTAACCCCTTTTGAACGTAAAGAAATCATATCGTTAGAGAAAATCTGTGAAATGATTAACTCATCCATGAATTTACGAAACAATTTGAAAATTACACCAAAAAAATTAATAAAGTAATTATTTCTCGAAAGAGTTATAAATAAGTTTTTTCCATAAATTTAAACATGATTTATTTTTTCGTAAAAGCACTGAAAAATTGTTTTTATGTAAAATGTTATAAATTTTAGCCTAAAATCGAGATTCAATGATATAATAAGAGATAAGAAAAATAAACAATGAATGCATTTATAGGCAGAAAATTGTGATTTAAATGAAAAGTTCATATTATGTTTAAAAACACATTTTAAAACAAGACTACGATTTGTTTGTTTTGTTTAGTGAAAGGGGTTTTTAGCAGTGATTTTCAAAACAAATGCAAATGGAAAGTAGTTTTACAGACCAGACATACCTTTCCTTTCTGGCCATATCATAATATTTTGCCTGTTCTTCACGAGTCAATGCGTGCCACTAATGGATCACCAAAAAATATAAAGACAAACATATTATCATAAATATTGCTAAAGAGGTATTGATATATAAAATGAAGGGAACAGTGAGAGTGGTGTCCAATACATACCCTTTTCCCCAGTATTTGGTTGATGGCGGCGCTCTCCTTGAGAGTGCATTCGGCGACCACTTTGGGCCGCATTTCCTTCATATACAGCATGAAAGAGTTGAGCGGTTTCTTGACGTGTGGTTTGTCTTTGCTGTGCTTCGAGATCTTGCCGTTGAAGCTGTCGGGCGTTCCCGGAGATGACAGCGAATGGTTGGCACTATTGGTCGAGTTGGGCGGACTCCGGACGCCGCCGCCACCGCTACTACCAGTACTGGTTCCTGTGGTTGAGCTCCCATTACTGATACGACTGAGTGATGGCTTTTGATCGAAGTTGTGATGAGAGGATGAGTGAGAGTACGGCGGCAGTGAATGCCGCGAATTACTGGCACCGGAGCCGCTATTTATATTATTGTCTGTACAGTGGGCTGAGTGCGAGTGATGTGAATGTGAGTTCATTGAGTTGATGCCGGCCGTGGCCGCCGCCACCGCGGCCGCCAAGTCCTGGTGCTGTTTGGAGCCGGCGCTGGCGGCCAACAGCGAGTGCGTGAGCCCCGGGTGGCCCGACAGCGACGGGTGCGGCGCTATCAGCGGCGGTCGAGGAAATGCTGGGAAACCTGATGTGGGAACGGATCCCAATCCCGGGTATGGACCGCGAAATGCTCCCGATGCCATCGGGTACATGGCTGGCGTGTGCCTAATCACCAAAAACACACACAACACAGCAATTAGTAAATTGTGGGCACAAGTAATCAATTGATTCATACCATTGCAGTTGTTGTGCAAAGTCAGGGAATACTGGATGAGGGGAATACTGTCCGTAACCTGGGATCGGATACATCGGTGGCCGAGGGATACCTGTATTCACAGAATAAACTGTGTGTTAAAGAATCCGTATATAATTATTTAGTTGGTTAAGTCAAAGTGATATTTCTTGTCATTAATTGTGAACCTTTGAGTGCTTGCAGTGAAAGCATATCCGATAAATAACATAATTATATGTCAAACGAAAGCAATTAAAAAACAATTAATGAGTTCTTGTAATGAATGGTATGATAGAGAAAGTGGAAGAATGTGTGAGTGAGTGGAAGTGTATGGGTTCGCGAGATAGACATAAATATGCTTTCATTGCAATACACGAGTGTTTCGCACGAAAGGGAGCAGCAGTTGGTCTGCAGTGAAGCAGTGCTTGCAGTGGATATGCATTGAAAACGTATGGTTAGAGTGTTTGCGAGATAAACATCGCGGGTATCGGAGAAGTGCATTGAAATGGAGTGGAAGTGCAGTGAAAGTGCGATAACGTATGGTAAGCATCGAAGAGAGCAAAGACTCGTATTGTTTATAAGGCATTGGAAGGCATTGGAAGTGCACTGAAGGCATGACTTGGCATTCAAAATGCCATAACAAGAGTGTTTTGATAGGATAACAAGCGTTACAGAAACACAACCACAGCTGCAAACACTTGGATTATGGGTTAGCGCTGGTTAGACAACAGTCCAAAACAGTGATTGCAGTTCTCAAACAATTCACTAAATTTCATAACTTGTCGACAAGTTTTTCAGGCAAATACTGTAGTAGTTTTCAAATTACCCGGTATATCGAAGTCCATCCATGAGGTGATACGGCCGGTCCGGGGGTCGATGTGGACCGGGGGTATTCCCATGTGGGCGGGGGGTGGCTGTGGAAAGGCATCGATGTTTGGCAGCGATGGGTAGAATGACAGGGGAGAGGCGGTGTGGTGGCCCCCGACCAAGGGCACTTTATTGGCCTATATTAGCACATAAATACGTACAATTAGCTTTTTTGTTAGACAATTACATATTATTCATTTTAATCGCATTACTAATCAACACAATATGAAAACAATGGCCACTAATTATACACATGAATGTATGCTTTTCTCAAATGGGTTTCACATTTGTCTCGGCGTTAGATATAGTTTTTTAGTTTTATTTTCACGAATGAATTCATGATATATAGATATGTCTGTGGAATTGAATGATTGTCTCGTTATTGTAATGAAATGGTGAAATTGAAATCAAACTTATTTTCACAAAAGTCGAGAGAGTATTGCAAATGTATTTCAAACACGAGTCATAAAAAAGACATAAAAAGCTAAATCTTAACAATTTTGTCGAAAATAGGCGGTGCGTGTCATTTACCCTCTCATTTAGGGTTTTATAAAAGTCGAGAGAGTATTGCAAATGTATTTCAAACACGAGTCATAAAAAAGACATAAAAAGCTAAATCTTAACAATTTTGTCGAAAATAGGCGGTGCGTGTCATTTACCCTCTCATTTAGGGTTTTATTTTATGTATATCTTTGTAGTTATAAATGCAGTGCTTTTGGTTTACACACAAAGAATATCGAGTGAAACGATTGCCTGTATAATTGATAACCGATTTAAACCAGGATAAGTCGGACAAAATTGTCAAAAATCCCATTCAATTGTTTAATAGTATTTTGCCTGAAATACAAATACTAAATGAAGTCCAAAATGAAATCAGAGAGAAATCTTTATCTCTGATGGCATCTCTTCAACAAAGGCTGGTCTTCCAGGAAAGCCATTTACCCTCTAATCGTCAAATAAGTTGACGAGAAGTGGTAGGGAAAGAGACTTTTTTGAGAGGTTTTGCCTGTTTCTGGAGACTGGATCTGTGGCCTAACGCAGTGCTACAACAACCGGACTCTACTCTCAGCGCAGTTGGAGTTTTATAATGTATAGCAAACTGCATGGATGTGTGTGTGTGTGTTGGGCATGGATGTAGGTGCCAGTGGTGGCCGGGGCTATTTGCCCCTCGCTATGGCACGGCTCGCACTGGCAATCCTCTGCCTTTAAATGAAAACTTTGGTGCCCTTTGGTTACGCCCACGGATTGGCACTAATAATCAATGCCTGATATTTGAATCCCTCCACTGCTCTCTCCAACAGTATCTGCTTTTTCTTAGAAATCTCAACCAAAATGTTGACAAACTTTTTCATAAATACTTTCATCACTTGTTTCTCTTTACATTAGGATTTGTGCTGACGTTTCACGTCTTTCACTTAAATCCTTTTCACAATTGCTTTTTCTTAGAAATCTCAACCAAAATGTTGACAAACTTTTTCATAAATACTTTCATCACTTGTTTCTCTTTACATTAGGATTTGTGCTGACGTTTCACGTCTTTCACTTAAATCCTTTTCACAAGACTTTTGCTATCAATTAATTCACTCATAAATATTCAATTATTTCTTTCAAGATTTCGCTGAAAACTTATAGTTTAAGAATTCATCAAATTCTAAGACAAAACAACAAATTGTTAATTAATTTCACTAACGTTTTGATTAATTATTTAACTCTTGTTTCACTGCATTGACATCAAATCCAATTTGTTATACACTTGCGTTGTGTTTGCTTTAGACTCAAAGCCTTTGAGTTTTCAATCATTAATTATAAATCCAATAAATTAAATAAAAAAAAGTGAATCGATTATAGAAATGTAAGATTGATATCGAAATGAGAAAAACGAATTACAGCTATATTTCAAAATTAATTGTCTTTAAATACAAAACTAAACAAATATTAAACGAGAATTCATTTTAAAAAAAGTGAATCGATTATAGAAATGTAAGATTGATATCGAAATGAGAAAAACGAATTACAGCTATATTTCAAAATTAATTGTCTTTAAATACAAAACTAAACAAATATTAAACGAGAATTCATTTATTATGGCAATAAGAAAAGTAGTGATCATTTAAAAACTATAAATTGTTAGCTTTATTACAACAATAAATGACAGAAAAAGTTTGTCCCTTATATCCAAACAAAAGGAATGATGAATTCGCGGACCCCCTCCCCTCTCATACAATTTACATCTCCTACCTGTCCCGTAGCACAACCTAATGCTTTATCAAGACTATGCCATTTTGGCCAAACACTTCTCCACATCCCAGCCCATTGTATGTGTACTTTAAGCCACAACTTTCCTAATGACTGCTTTGTTTAAGCAAATGTTTATACAAAGAATTCTTGAAGAATACAATTCACTAATACTCAACATCTAGTGCTGTATTTGTATTGCAATTTTGGGCTCTATTTTTTGATTATATTACACACATGTGTGACACCAAACAGTCAATTGGTGCACACATTTCGCATTCAACTCCATTTCTACCATTAGATTACTAATGACTCGAGAATTGAATTATTTAAATAAGCCGAGAAAATTAATTAATCTGTTTTGAGGCTAAAAACAAAACACAACAAAAAGAGAGAGATATGTTGTGTCGAAATAATCAATTCATTCAATTACGGCATCCCATCCGACCTTTTATTATAAAGAGCCGCAAGGAATGGTATTATTAATATTCAATCAAATAGTTATTGCTAACCAGTATTCGAGTATTGATTTGCTATACATTAAAGTATAGCGCTTAGCTAATAGAGTGTATAAAATGAAATTATAACACCCGTGCCAGACAATTAATTTTTACAGTATATTCTTTGTCTTAATATAGAAATTATAATACAAATAGAAATATTGAGTGCATTTATCAGCGCATACTAGTATAGCCTAAACCACTCTAAATCAACAAAAGCAATAATGAATTGTTTGAAATGACTGAAGAGATTATGTTTTAATAGTTTGTATTCAACTTATTCATAAAAAACAATAACCAGCAAAGTTAAGTGAGAATATTACTGATAAAAGATTTCACCAAACTTTCCAATCTATTGTCTCACGAATTAGAATATAAAATACAATGAAAATGTTTATTAATACAAAATAATATTACTGTAAGTAATAGTGTATTAATAAATCGAGAAAATACTCCAAATATAATCACAATCATAAGGATATAGGAAAAGGTTTTGTCGATAAAAGCAATTTCAAGCGATAAGATTGGATTCATTTGTTATCAGTAGGCTGTGTGTGTCATATCATACGACATGTAATTTAATTAATTGATGTCTTGTATTATATTTACTTAAATAAGGCTTCAATTTCTGACAAATTTATTGTTTAGAAACACTTCACTCTAAGAGGACTTTATTGAAAAATTAGGCATATTTTTGAAGCGACAAAAAAGTTATCAAACTTTGAGTTAAAAATTTTTGATTTATCATAAACTACACCAAAAGTCATGTTTACGGCCCAAACATAAGGTCTGATTGTGTGTCTCATCAAAGTGAAAGACATGAGAAATCATTGCTATATTTATATATAAATAGAAAGAACCAAACCTTCAATTAATCTTATTTGTCGAAAATATATTGCTTTTAAAAACGTTTGATAAATTCAAATAAATAGAAAAATTGTTTTGGATTTTATCACACATCACACACCAGTAAAACATATCGCGAATTACATTACATATGAATAACAACATTGAGAGAAAACACACTTCTATTCATGTTTTAAGAAAAGCTAAAATATTTCATATTTATATATTGAAATCAAACGTCAAAACGGCATAAATTTGAATGAAATGCATACGAATTGCGAAAATATTGTGATAAGACATGCAAATGATAACTACTATTGATTGCAATGGAGTCAGTGGTGTAGTGAGCGGATGGAAAATGGATGTGATGTGGGTTTGAGATATATATCTTGATATGAAATTTAATTTTAATATTCACTTTAACTAGAGTTTACGATGAGAGCTGACCCGCGAGAGTATAACTCAATTTGTTTTTGCACCGAAAACCCAAAACTACTGAACGTAACTGTTGTATAAGAGTTTCAAATCTTTTTTCAATCCAATATCGCATTACGTTTTTGAAATGATATAAAAAGATAGAGCGAGTGATGGAGTGATAACATGAAGACTAAAATGCGATCACTTTTTGAATCCAAATAGCATTTGGGAGACGGAGTGCATCCGTTTGATGTTCGCCGTCATTATCGCACCTACAGCTCAACTCTATCATCATTTGACCACATATTCGCATCACATCGCATGTGGTGAACGATATCTAATTCCCAAATCCCGGCCCTCTTTCCGTACATTTCCTATCAAAGTGTGTCTAATAATGAAGTTTCAACTGTTGTGCAAATCATAATTAAGTGAATGAGAAAAAGTGAGACTAAATGTAAGAGAGAGAGAGAGAGAGAGAGAGAGATGCTGTTGAGATCAATAGTGATAGAGTGATGACGAGTGTTAGGCAACAGGCAGTAGTGAATAGTGTCTGAGTGCTCACAAATAGAGCAATAGAGCGAATATCTTATTGCTAATGCTCTCAATACTGCAATACACTCGTCAGTTGCTAACTGTGCTAACGGTGCACATAATGTAAGATAAAATGAAATAATAGTGCATTCGATGCATTACCTCTCTATCAGCTCTAACTTCACTCCATTCTCTCTCTCTCTCTCTCTCTCATCTACTCATGTAATACACTATTAGTGTTACATGAGTTTGGCTGGCGATGGAGTCTGCAGTGAGAATAGAGTATGGATTGCAATATAAGCTCAACTCAAATGATATTACGGCCAATAATTCCCATTTCCTCCTCACCTCAAATCAACGAAAATCCAGATTTCACTCAACTCTACATTAGAGCTCATCTTTCAAGGAGTATTTGAGTTTCAAATTGCAAACTTAAATCTTATTTTATATGTACTTTAAGTTATTCTTCGCTATAAATGATTGAAAACTACTTTAAAAATCAAAACTCTTAGCAGCGATTGATTGAGCGAATCGAGTGTAAGCTGTGTTTGTAAGCCATGTATCCAAATATGTATTGAATATACAGTACAATACTCTATCGTATACTATAAGTCACTCTCATTGGGAGACTGCGAGAAGAATCGCAAAAATAGTAATAAATAGAGTATAAGACTATAAACACAAAAACCAATTTCCAAGCGGTTCTGGCTATCAATTCAAGTGACAGAGGAACTGGAGGTTTTAATATATTCATAGATGCTTTCAATTTGATGCATAACAGATGTAAAACAAAGTTGTGTTGAGCTAACTGTGCTGCCAATGGCACACATGATGTCAGTGCTAATGGAAAGTGTAAGCAAAACAGTGAATAAGTCTCTCATTTGTGGAGCCTTTCATCAGTGAGACTCGTATGCGAAATGATTTCTCTTTCCGTTAGAATTGAAATAACATTATAACACAAATAAATGCTAAATATTATGTACTTTTTGGCGAGTTTTTGGGCGACAAATACAACATAACATAAGCCCTGAGCCCTAAGCAGTTCTGCTTCATTACACACTTTTTAGACGACTTAAGCATCACTACTATAGGACTCATCACTTCGGATCAGTTGATACATTCACTCATTCAGTGCACACACCGTCCAACCAATTGTCCCAAACAATCCCACATCCATACCGTTCCCTTCCCTCTCCTTTCATACATCTCTCTCTCTCTCTCTCTCTCTCTCTCTCTCTCTCTCCTGTCGTATAAGTCTCTAAAAAACCTCCAATTCCTACCCCTAAATGCTAAATGCATTTATAGGGATATGTAATAGGAATGCATTTAATACTGATGTAAGTATTAGTAAAAAGTAAACTCCATTAATACTGGCCCTTATGGGGGCAGATGGGGATGGGGTCGTGCACTCATTCCCTTTCTATTATGGTATTAGGCATTAGACCCAACCTTGCCATCGCTTTTTAACCCTAAGTTAGGTAGTGTTTGTAAGCCTATGTATACATTTGAATGCTATAATACACATAACATAAAACATATCCAAATATAATAGAATCCATTTGCCAGGTGTTAAACA